ATATACACACATACACATAGTATCGTAGGCCACCCTTCGGGGAAGAAGGACGTTTGAGGGAAAGGTGCAGCGTTAGGTTAGCGAGTAGCTCCGTGTCGGAGTGGCTATCTGACTGCAGACCTGACGATCGAACCATGTAACTATCCTGCATATTCGCGAAATGTCCCTGTCAAGGCTCGCATGCCGAAGACGATACTCGACATGCCAGCATACGACCCGTCCATGCATGCATGCACACATATACGCATATGCACATATGCACATACATGTAATGCTGGGGGGGGAACGAAGAGGCCCAAAGAAATTGGTTTCGGATCGTTTCGCGCGTGCCGGCGAGGTGAAGCTGTGCGAGGGCGACGATGTGTCGGCGTAGCTAGCGTCAAATCGTCAAAATTGGCCTGGCGAAGGACCCAACCGTATGCAGTTGTGAGTACCACATTTGTGGGTATCGTCTTCGGTGGAGCTCCCCGTGGGCCACGAAACGCTGTACTGGGTGGGGGAGACGCATGCGGACTCAGCCACTGGGGCCTTCGGTAGGGGTCCCTTTTTGGGCCCCGAAACGCTGTACTGTGGGGGAGACACATGCGGACTTTGCCACTGGGGCCTTCGGTGTAGCTGCCTGGGCCACGAAACGCTGTACTGGATGGGGAGGCGCATGCGGACGTTGCCACTGCGGCCTTCGGTGGAACTCTCTAATGGGCCACAAAACGGTGCACGAGGCGGGGTAGACGCATATGGACTTTGCCACTGGGGCCTTCGGTGGAGCTCACTATGGGGCCACGAAACGCTGTACTGTGTGCGGGAGACGCATGCGAGTGCAGCCAGTGAGGCCTTCGGTGGGGCTCACTCTGGGGCCACGAAACGCTGTACTGGGTAGGGGAGACACATGGGGCCTTCGGTGGAGCTCCCTAAGGGCCACGAAACGCTGTTCAGGGCGGGGGGGCGCATGCAGACTTTGCCACTGGGGCCTTCGGTGGAGCTCCCTAAGGGCCACGAAGCGCTGTCCTGTGGGGGAAGCGCATGCGAATTTTGCCACTGGGGCCTTCGACGGAGTTCCCTATGGGGCCACGAAACGATGTAATGGGTGTGGGGCGCATGCGAACTTTATCACTTTGGCCTTCGGAGATGCTCCCTTTGGGGCCAGGAAACGTTGTACTGTGTGAAAGAGACGCATGCGAACGTTGTTACTGGGGCCTTCCGTGGAGCTCCCTATGGGGCCACGAAACGCTGTACTGGATGCGGGAAACGCATGTGGACTCAGCCACTGGGGCCTTCGGTGGAGCTCCCTCTGGGGCCACGAAACGCTGTACTTGGCGGGGGAGACGCACGCGAGTGCAGCCACTGGGGCCTTCGGTGGAGCTCCCCATGGGCCACGAAACGATGTACTGGGTGGGGGGACGCATGCGAACGATGCCGCTGGTGCCTTCGGTGGGGTTCCCTGTGGGGCCACGAAATATTGTACTGGGCGGGGGAGGCGCTTGCGAACTTTGCCACTGGGGCCGCCGGTGGAGCTCCATATGCGGCACAAAACGCTGTACTGGGTGGGGGGGGACGCGCGTGCGAACTTTGCCACTGGGGCCTTCCTTCGGTAGAGCTCTCCGTGGGGCCACGAAACGCAGTACTTTCTGAGGGAAACGCATGTGGACTCAGCCACTGGGGTAGTCGGTGGGGTCCCCTTTGGGGCCACAAAAAATTGTACTGGGCGGGGGAGACACATGCGAACTTTGCCACCGGGGCCTTCGGTGGAGCTCCCTATGGGCCACGAAACGCTGCACTGGGTGGAAGAGACGCATGCGAATTTGCTTTTGGGACCTTCGGTGGAGCTCCCTATGAGCCACGAAACGCTGTACTGGGCGAGGGACGCGCGTGCGAACTTTGCCACTGGGGCCTTCGGTGCAGCTATGGGGCCACGAAACGCTGTACTGTGGGGGAGACGCATGCGAACTTTGCCACTGAGGCCTTCGGTGGAGCTCCCTATGGGCCACGAAACGCTGTACTGTACTAGGTGGGGGAGACGCATGCGAGTGCAGCCACTGGGGCCTTCGGTGCAGCTATGGGGCCACGAAACGCTGTACTGTGGGGGAGACGCATGCGAACTTTGCCACTGAGGCCTTCGGTGGAGCTCCCTATGGGCCACGAAACGCTGTACTGTACTAGGTGGGGGAGACGCATGCGAGTGCAGCCACTGGGGCCTTCGGTGCAGCTATGGGGCCACGAAACGCTGTACTGTGGGGGAGACGCATGCGAACTTTGCCACTGAGGCCTTCGGTGGAGCTCCCTATGGGCCACGAAACGCTGTACGGGGGGGGGGAACGCATGTGGACTCAACCACTGGGGCCTTCGCTGGAACTCCCTATGGGCCACGAAACGCTGTACTGGGCGGGGGAAACGGATGCGGGTGCAGCCAGTGGGGCCTCTGGTGAAACTCCCTAAGGGCTACGAAACGCTGTGCTTGGTGTGAAAGGCGCATGCGGACGTTGCCACTGAGGCCTTCGGTGGAGCTCCCTATGGGGCCACGAAACGATGAACGTGGTAGGGAAACACGAAACGCTGTACCGGCTGGGGGAAACGCATGTGGACTTCATTTGCAATTGGTGCCTTCGGTGAAGCTCCCTATGGGGCCACGAAACGCTGTACTGGATGGGGTAACCACATGCGAAATTTGCCACTAGGGTCTTCGGTGGAGCTCCCCAAGGGCTACGACACGCTGTGCTTGGTTTGAGAGACGCATGCGAACGTTGCCACTGAGGTCTTCGGTGAAGCTCCCTCTGGGGCCACGAAACGCTGCACTGGGTGTGTGGGGGAGACGCATGCGAAAGTTGCCACTGGGGCCTTCGGTGGAGCTCCGTATGGAGGGCACGAAACGCTGTACTGGGTGGGGGAAGCGCATGCGAGTACAGCCACTGGAGCTCGGTGCAGCTCCCTGTGGAACAACGAGCTGTAATGGATGCGGGAAACGCATGCGAGTGCAGCCTCTGCGACATTCGGTGGGGTTCCCTTTGGGGCCACGAAACTCTGTACTAGGTGGGGGAGACGCACGCGAGTGCAGCCACTGGGGCCTTCGGTGGAGCTCCCTATGGGGCCACGAAACGCTGTACTGGGGGGGGACAACATGCGAGTGCAGCCACTGGGGCCTTCCCTGGAGCTCCGTATGGAGGACACGAAACGCTGTACTGGGTGGGGGAAGCGCATGCGAGTACAGCCACTGGAGCTCGGTGCAGCTCCCTATGGAGCAACGAAACGCTGTTGCCTTCGGTGGAGCAACGAAACGCTGTTGCCTTGGGTGAGGGAACCACATGCGAACGTCGTCAATGCGACCTTTGGTTGAGTTCCCTGTTGTTGTACTGGGCGAGGGAACAGCATGCGAGTACAGCCGCTGGGGCCTTCGGTGCAGCTCCCTATGGGGCCACAAAAAGCTGTACTGGGCGAGGGAAAAACATGCGACAGCCACTGGGGCCTTCGGTGGAACTCCCTAAAGGCCACAAAACGCTGTACTGGATGCGGGAAACGCATGCGAGTGCAGCCACTGCGACCTTCGGTGGGGCTCCGTACGGGGCCACGAAACGCTGTACTAGGCGGGGGAGACGCATGCGAGTGCAGCCACTGGGGCCTTCGGTGGAGCTCCCTATGGGGCCACGTAACGCTGCACTGGGTGGGGGAACATCATGCAAATGCAACCACTGGGGCCTCCGGTGCAGCTCCCTACGGGGCCACGTAACGCTGTACTAGGCGGGGGAAACGCATGCGAGTGCAGCCACTGAGGCCTTCGGTGCAGCTCCCTTTAGGGTCACGAAACGCTGCACTGGGTGGGGCGGAACGCGTGAGAGTGCAGCCACTGCGACCTTCGGTTGAGTTTCCTATGGGGCCACGACACGCTGTACTGGGTGCATGAAACGAATGCGAATGCAGCCACTGGGGCCTTCGGTGGAGCTCCCTATGAGACCACGAAACGATGTACTGGGTGGGGGCGACGCATACTGATGAGGGCAGAGGCAAGGAGGGGAAGGAGGGAGGAGGGAGGAGAGGGAGGAGGGTGGGAAGCGAGGGGACGCGGGGCGCTGTCTCTTCCATACAAAGAGCCAACACCACTGGTTGGTTGAGAACAAATATCCGTACCTAAGTCGCGCGATTGCCCGCGGGATTGTCCCGTAAATTGTCCTCTGGGTTATCCCGTAGGTTGCCCGGCGGGTTGTCCCGTAGGTTGTTCCCTGAGATGTCCCGTGGGTTGTTCCATGGTCATCCCGTGGCTGTCCTGTGGATTGTCCCATGGGTTGTCCCGTGGGCTGTCCCATGGGCTGTCCCGTGGTGGATGTTCCTTGGCTGTCCCATGGTAGTCCCATGGTTGTCCCGTGGGTTGTCCCATTGGTTGTCCCGTGGGTTGTCCCGTGGTCCAGACGCTCCAGGCTTTCCAGCAGCTCCCCTGAGCTCCCGGATGGCTCCCGAGGGCTCCCTGGAGCTCTCCAGGCGCGCAAGACGCCTCCGAAGGCACAAACAGATCGCCCAAAAAGAGCGTACGCTCCAAACACGTACGTGAACAGGCTCCCTGATTCGCGAGGCCGCCCCCATGTCATGAGCGCTCGCGTAACGCATTTTCTCAAAACCCATGTGAATCCACTTACGCGTACGCCCATACAACAAGGCCCAGGAAGGTCCCAGGGCCGGCGGCGTGTGGAGCGCTCCAGGCGCTCCAGACGACTCCGAGGGCGCACAGCATGCCCAGGAGGCTCCCAGGGTCGAAGAGAGGGATAGGAGCGAGGAAAAGACAGAAGGAGGAAAAGGAGCGAGGAACGAGGAGCGAGGAACGACAAGCTAGTAGGTAGGAGCAGGAGCAGGTGGAAGCAGGAGGAGGAGGAGGAGCAGGATGAGGAGGAGGAGGAGGAGGAGGAGGAGGAGGAGCAGGAGGCAGGAGGAGAGAGGAGAGAGGAGCGAGGTGGAGGAGATAGGTCCTGGTCGGCGCCTCTCGACGTGTCGCGAGCGGCTGCAGCAAGCGGGGGGGGCACTTTGTCTTCAGCAGCGGCTGCACCTGCGGGCGCGCGCTGGCGCGGCGAGACGGGCGAGACGTCCCAGTGAGAGGGGCCATCTCGCCCCTCGCAAGCTGGGGACGACCAGCCTCGCCCCGCGGGGGCTGCACTGCCCTAAACTGTCCTCCTCCTCCTCCTCCTC